AGAACAACTGTTAAACAACAAATACATGCTCAGTAGATACTTTTCCACTGTGCTCTTGCTTTTCCCTAGTAAATTGCCTTTGCAGTCTTCTCCCCAGCTTATCAAATTGTCCCTAGTGTATCAAAGTTTACATCTTTGCTGAAGTTTACAGTTGTGGTCAGCTATTTTTATGTTTGCAGGGGCAAGAAAGTGAGGTTGTATTAGACATGGTCGATGGCTTCTTAGCCCTTGCATTATTTAATAATATGTTGGGTCAAGTGCACTTGCATAAACAATTTATTCAAAGCAATAGCTAACCATGGTGGTGCAACGCAAAACGATACTTGTCTGCATCAGGGTTGGGGTTTTTTTCTTTCTTAAGGGCCAAACACAGTGCTAAGAGATGAGTGACAGTCCAGTCAAGTGGAAGCAGCTGTGCAGGGAGAAACCTCACCTCAGTTTTCCACCAGGCAGGCGTGAGCATAAGGTGCAGTTGCTACTATTGAAAGACTTAGAACAGTTATTTTCAACTGATACGGTAAAAAAGATGGGTTAGGCATGATGCTCTTGAGATCAAAGCTTGGTGCTTGAAATTAATAAAACAGGTCAGAAAAATCTGAGTCGTCTGTGCCTAGCTGGAAAAACGTTAATTTTGAAAAGTTTAACAAATCTTACAACGTTTGGTTTTGGCACTCTACAGCATTTGCATTAAAAAGGAAGTTTTCTTCTTTGTTGCATTGTAGAAGACAAATCAGAGGAAAAATTGGCCATACAGGAAAATAGCGTTGTTAGCCAGTCCTGTCAAATGCACAAACCCACCATCTGCACTGAGTCTTTGTTGTAGCAGCCTCCTGCATCTGTGCTTTTGGGCAAGGTTCATTTTAATATCCAGCATCTGTTGATACGGATGAAGCAACTTTCTTAGCCTAAACAGATAAACACATTTGGAGCAACAGCATTTTATTTCTCATACTGGCCACTTCTCAGTGGAGGCAACAAAAATTACGGTTTGGCTCTTTGGAGTTAGCGTTTTGATCTCTTTCATGGCTGAAAACAAAAAAAATCCAGCCGTGTTTTACTGCGAGCAGGACTAGCCAGCTGTCACCTCTATATTCATATATAAACTGATCTTCTTAATCGTCTGCTCGTGCTGCGTAGAGTTGTATTTAGTGTAGTGGTTAGTGGTTTGTATAGTACGTTTTCCTTCTTACAAATGCAGAACAGCTGTTGATAGCCTCAGAACAAACAATTCCTTTAGGTGAAGGAAGAACTCCCCGTGCTGCAAGCAGCACAGTACGTTTAGCTGAAGCCCTTCCCATCGGAGGGGGTCAGATGAAGACTTACTTATGACTTTGTTGCTTAGTTTTGGAATAGATACTCCCTCATAACGCTGTTTCCAGGCGATGAGATGGGGCCTTCCCACAACAAACTGTCACATCCTGGGAATTGAGCCGCTTTTGAGAAAAGCGGGCGGAAAAAGCTTTCTCTCCAGTGAGGAGCTCTCGGTCAGTCCCGGCGCAGCTAGGAGTGCGCTGGGGGAGTTGTGGGCGCGGGAAGGAAATTGTGAGTGGAGTTTTAAAGCACCTGGTTTAGGAAGATCTCTTGGCACCCGATTTTTCAGACCATACGGTGTTACTGATAAGCAGAAAGTAGGACTGGGTGCATCTTGTAGCGGGAGGGCTGTTGCTGTAAAAGCAGCTGTTTGTTAGTCAGTAGCCAAAGATGTTCATACAGTGAACTTGCACTTCACAGCTGGATGGAGGGAGCCGCCCCCCTCTCGTTTCCCTCCACATTTGTCTTGACCTGTGCTGCAGCGTGAGGCAGTAGTGTGCAGTTAGCAACCGCATCCTTGGTCAGGGGAGGCTTGGTTTTCTTTCGTCCTAAATCAACAGCCCCTTGTTGTTCCGTGCCTTTCTAGGTCACAAAATTGCAGGGGGAGACAGGAAAGAAGTGTTTTCTGTGTTTTCAAAAGCCAAATTACATCAACCACTTTTTTTTTTATTACTTATTTTTAACATAATTTCTTGTTATGTACAAAAGCCAGAGAGGCACTTTTTCCTTTTAGGATATTTTTCACTCTCCTCAAGAAAGCTGCGTTCTCTAAGAAGTTGGCTCCAGACTACGTGTGACTCAAGTATTGTTAGAGTGTTGTTGCCTGTTCTAAAAATGACTCATGGAAACAAACAAAACGAGCAGAGTGCTTAGGGAGACCTAGCTGGCAAACACAACCTTTTTTTTTTTTTTCTTTCTCTCCAAGTGAGACATTTTTAAGAATCAGCAGTGTAAGTTTAGTGCTAGAGTTGCAAAAGTCACATCATCCGATTCTTACCTAACTGCTCCAGGAGATTTCTAAATCCAACCCACAAATTTTCACAAGCCCAGTTCTGCTAATGACACAGGGCAATCTTCTACCAGAAAGTTTCTCCTTGTAGCCAGGATCTGCTGTTGCTGATGCCGAGAGCGTTTGAGCCCTCATAACGCAGTGTAACTGGTATTTGCATACAGGTACAAAGCACTCCCTAAACTAGGTCTCAGCAGGGCGTATTTTGAGGACACCTTTTAGAGCTTTTAGGGAGAAGTTTCCCATCCACCATCTCTAGCAGCACAGTGGCTAAAGCTATGACCTTTGGACAAGGAACCTCTCCATCTTAGATTCCTGCTTTTGTTGAGGGAGACTCGAACCTTAATTACCACTTCCTTGGTAATTGTGATATTCAGGGTTGGTGGTGCAGTTCCTCCTGATGAGGTTATTTTCCTGGAGCTTACAAGGTGGAATATTCCCCCACGTGGGAAGACCACAATGCTGTAGCCCCTGAATAGCAAAGGGAGGGGGGAGCCTGAGTTCCAAGTCTCTGCTCCAGTGAGTGCACGGATAAAATGTTCATTAAAGCAGGAACTGGAAGAGACTCAAGCACAGACGCAGTCATGGCCCCGCTGAGAGTTTGCACCATACAGAACAGCCCAGCTTCAAAGGAAGGAGCAAGAGCCCTGCTCCAGCATACCCTCACCCCCCTGACGGAGCATTTACATCTTCAGTGAGAAGCAGCAGCAGAACAAGGAAATGCCTGCACCGAAAGGAAGATTTCAAAGCAGGAACTGGAAGAGACTCAAGCACAGACGCAGTCATGGCCCCGCTGAGAGTTTGCACCATACAGAACAGCCCAGCTTCAAAGGAAGGAGCAAGAGCCCTGCTCCAGCATACCCTCACCCCCCTGACGGAGCATTTACATCTTCAGTGAGAAGCAGCAGCAGAACAAGGAAATGCCTGCACTGAAAGGAATATTTTACACTGTGGGTTCCTGCAGCATCCATCAGCTCAAGTAGGAAGCATCTGTTAACCAAGAAAGCCTTAAAAAAAAAATAATCCTGTAGGTGGGAGCGCTCAGGCAGGTACGCTGCCTGTTTCATAAATCACAGCGCAGCCTTTCAGATCTGCTTTGCAGGTAGCTTTGTAACGCAGCCTGTGAGGATTGCGAGATTCTTGGGCAAACCAGTATCCGTTGTGCCAGGTGCTCCCCTTTCACATCACAACAGGAAGAAAACCAAACTACCTGGTGACGCTGTGCAGACGCCTGTCTGGCAGCCCCTGGGCCAGGCACAGGGCGAGGTGGCCTCTCGGGGACTGGCCAAATACCAAAACCAGCAGAGTCCCCAGGACAGCCTCACTTGTGAGACAGGTAAACTCCCATAGCCAGGGCATTAGCAGCAGAATGGCTGAAGACAAGGGGGCGTTGCTGCCAGCCAGAGAGACGCTGCTCTGGCCAAACACAGAAAGCATGTCCCAGAGCAGCCATGGGGAAAGGCAACTGAGCAACACCTACGTCAGTCATAGCTCCAGGGAAGCT